AATGTCAAACATGTGTATGAATCAACTATGTCTTCGTGTCAAACAGGATTTACTATCAAACAACGTGTGCTACACAAATAATAATTAATTGGAATATGTACACAACTTTTGTCGACTGGTGGATGTGTAAAATGTAATGACAATTATTATAGAAATGGTTTGGATTGTTTCAAATGTGATATATCATGTTCAACATGTAACACCTTTTTGAGGTGTCTGACTTGTAATTCAACGAATTACAAAACGTTGACCGGAGACTGTAAATCACAAAGTAGTATTATAGGTTGTGAAATAAATGTCACACAATATGGTTGCTCGAGATGTAAAAATGGGTATTTCCAAGTCAACTCCAATGAATGTGAAAAGTGTAATTTTTCATGTTTGACATGTTCCACGTATCATATTTGTTCAGCCTGTATTACATCAGAGGTATTATTATCAAATGGAATATGTGTAAAACTTTCTCAAATACCAAAGTGCAATGAAATTACAAATTCAAAATGCATAAAATGTGCGTTCTGGTATTCACCAAATTCGGATGGGACGTATTGTCGAAAGAAAGCAGTGTGGTGGGTTATAACACTCGTTATTTTGTTTGGTGTTTTTGTATTAACAAGTTTTATCATAATATTTATTTCAACATTTAAATGTATATTTAAGAAAATACACACCAAAGAGTTGGAAAAAACAACAACGATATTCAAAATGACAAAATCAAATATCATTTTTGTTACACTTATAAACCACATTTGTGTATCTTCAATTGAACTTAATTTTAATTCAGAAATGGATGAGATTCCAGTTGATAACGAAACAAAGGAAGTGTTATGTGTTGGCAATATGTCCAAAAACGTTTTAAAAATCCAATTTACCATGACAACACAAATTGACAAATTTACAGTAAGAGTATCACCAGAAGTCGTCGCGTTGAAAAAGAATTTTGCTTGTGAATTTTCAATATATTTGACACCAAAATGTACTTGTCAAATTAACAACAAAATTTGCATTGTCTCTAAAAATTTTAAAACAAACATTGAAAACACAAATGAAATTATCATGAAAGGAATAACAAGTCAATCGAGTCGAATAGACTATGACGAGTTAAATGAAGAATCGAAATTGGGAGAAGGATCGTTTGGTGTTGTTTACAAAGGAAAATACAGAGGAAATGTTGTGGCTATAAAGAAAATGAAACAAAGTGGAGATGCCAACACGTTTCACAATAAAAAAAAATGATGAAGAATTTGAAAATGAAGTCGACATGTTAGACAAATTTAGATGTGAGTATATTGTCCACTTTTATGGAGCCGTTTTCATACCAAATAAAATGTGTTTGGTCACCGAATTTGCACAATACGGGTGTTTGAGTGATGTAATGAAGAAATACGAAAAAAGAGAAATTCGACACAAAATAATTATAAAATTGATGATTGACACTTTGTATGGAATATCATATTTACACACAAATGGTATTTTACACAGAGACATCAAACCAGACAACATTTTAATATTTTCACTTGATAATGATACAAAAGTTAACGCAAAATTAACTGATTTTGGATCAAGTCGAAATGTTAATTCGTTGATGACTAACATGAGTTTTACTAAAGGAGTCGGATCACCTACATATATGGCACCCGAGGTATTAAATAAGGAAAAATACAATAAATGTGCAGATATATTTTCATTGGCTATTACAATGTACGAGTGTTTTACATGGAATAATGCATATCGAAAAGAACAATTTAAATTTCCATGGAAAATAGCAGAGTTTGTGATTAAAGGGTTGCGATTACCAAAGCCAGATGAAATGAATCAAAATATATATGATATTATTTGTAATTGTTGGAACAATGAACCAAAGAATAGAAGTTCAATTGAAGAAGTCATTAATGAACTAAAAATAGTATACAAATCAATATAGTTGTGTTATTATTTGATATAATTGATTCTAGCGAACAACTTTCATTATTAAAACAAACTTGTTTGATTTAAAGTCACAAACCTAACTAAACTGTTTTTAAATGTCTGTATTAACGTATAAAATTAATTGCAAAAATAAACAAAATAAAATTTATAATTTATTTTGTTCAATATTTTTGGAAATGTTGGTTTATATCACAAATTATTAAAAACAACCAAAAAAACAAAAAAATAAAACACATAACATCACCCTCGCATATATATTTTTTTTCATTTTTTGATAAAATCAATATCATAAAAGTATTGTAACCAACAAACAATGATAAAATTATTCATTCACTTTTTTCACATTTTTATAGTGTTTTAGATAATCAAAAAATATGTATTTATATAAAAAAGAGTAGTTGTTAATGATGAAATGTTTGTTATCAATTGTCTTTTTCTTTGTTACTAATTGTTGCGTATTGAACTTTTTACTTGAAATGTATTTTATTTTATAGATATTTTATTCTGTCAATATCAACATTGTTTTTGGCACAAAAACAAAATAACGAAATATAATTACTTTATTGTATTATTTGTTGTTGTACCTATTTTTTATTATGCCTATAATCATTATTAAACTTATAGATTCGATTTTTGTAAAACTTATTTTGGCTTTTTCAAACACACTCTATCAACATAACACGTTGTTTGAAAACAATTTAAATCATGCAAACATTACAAGTATAGTAAAGTATCTTGATATTACATTATTTACTTTAAATGAACCAAAAAATCAACACAGAGTCGTTTTTTACGATTATCTTTTTGGTTGTTTAGTGTTTGTTTCACAAAATGATATTATAAAAAAATTTACAATATGAATTGTGTATCAATTTGAAATTTCAAGATTGGGGATTATTTTGGTAAAACAGATTCAAACAGTTGGAAACAATGGATTCGAAAGTGTATCAAACGCAACAACCTTTCTTGGAGTAACTGTTCGGGTATAACAGGGGACTCAGTCAACAACATGAAATCAATTTTCGGAATTTAAAAGTGCGTGTAGCACGTACTTATCGACACAAGTTTTGTGTAAACTTTTGTATTTGCCATCGCTTAAAAACTGGTTGTCTAAAATGTTTGAAACAACAGAAGGGTCAACAATCAACATTTTTTTAAAAAGAAATTTCCACTGAAAAATGGAGAGGTCTCTGGCGTAATTTCAGACATCAAAACAATATTAAAACTTCCACTCTTCAGATCGACAGCTTGTGTACTACACGTTTGGTATTTCAAGAATCACTTCTTGCTGTCATATTTGAACATTTTGATGTTTATAAATTGTTTTTGAATAAAGAAAATTTCACATTTGAACAAACCCAAACAACAGGCGATTACAGATCATTTATTTTCGGAGACGCTTCTTTGAACAACAAGTTGTTTGTTGGAGCTTTATTCTTTGTTGAAATGATAGTCGCGAAAATGCGCACTATTGTTGACTGGTTACAGGGA